ATATATATACATATATTTGTTTTAAACCAGGGTTTCTCTAAGTCATTAAGTTGCTCAGGCTGTGCTCAAAATTGTGATCTTCTTGCCTCAGCTTCTCAGAGTGCTAGGATTATTGTGTGTGCCACCATGCCATGCTAGAAGCATCTTTTTAGTTCTGTGATTGAGAAATATAATTTCAACTTGTTAAGCAACTTTATTTATTTATCTGCCTTAAAAGAAATTACGCCTGCTCTAATTAATATAAATGTATCTCCTAAAAGAAAATTACATCTATGGCAGTGAATCTGGCTGTATCTATATCCACAATCATTAAAGAAATTGCCTAATATCTCTGAGCTTCAGCTTTTTAATCATAAAATATAGATGGTAACATTTATCTCACATGGTTGTTGCAAAGATTAAATGGTGGAAATTATGTAAAATGATTCAGGAAGTTTTTTAGTTCTGTGAGTAAATAATAAATTTTAACTCTTCAATATATTGAACTTACTTTTTAAATCTCGGAATATAACTAAATTAATTATGGGTTTATTGCTTGAATGAATAGAGTAAAGTTCAGATAGCTTTCTAATTCCTTTAGTTCTTCTGATTCTGGGTTACATTAGCTTTGTTCTAAATACATTGTCAATCTATCAATGCATCCTCCTAAAGTTAAGTTTTCTTTGAATTTCTCAATAGAGTACATTCGTATCATTCAGGCATTAAACAAAATAATTTTTATAAACTGACTGGCATATTATAAATGCTTGATAATAGGAAATCATTATTATTGTTTGATTATTTTCCTCTATTACTTGTCTTTTATTTCAGTGGCAAGGTAAAAATATCTAAATACATAAAGTGATGTGTCCAAAGCTTTTCTTTTTTATTAATGTTCCACCCTTCATGAAAGTAGAGTAATTTAAACTACTTTAAAGAATAAGAAGGAACTGTTCAAAGGATTCTCTAGTAGCTAAGAGAGACAATGACAGAGCTGAGCACTGTGCTTCTTAAAACCTGTGAGTGCTGAATCTTTTCTAAGAGATCAACTTTGTCTCTATTTTTTTTTAATATATTTCACTATATTCTTTTAAGATAAACTTTTGGTGATTTTTCTGGTGAAAAAAATTGAAAATTACAAATTTAAGTTCAAGTTTTTAAATTCTTTGGGAAATTTGGTCAACATTTCCATACAAAAGTTCCATTAATCCTTCATGTCCATATTTGTATAATGATGAGGGGTTGGGCTTCAGAATGATATACTGAGGTTAAAGTCCTGATTTAGCACACATTAGATTTGTGACTGAAAAAATGATTTAATTACTCTCAGCCACTGTTTCTCAAATGAAGAATCAAAATGATAATATTCATCTGTAGTGTTGTAATAATTAAATGAGTTAACATTTAAAATACGTAGAATAGACATGATTTTTATTATTACTACTATGAAATCTCAATTTATAAGTAATTATATCTTGAGAATAACAGATCAAGAATCGAGTACCATGAAAATGAATTTCATAATAAATACCTTAACCTGAATCTTATTATATTTTACAGTATTTGACCTAATCTAATTTCTGACCTAAAGTATTTCACCTATATTCTCAATGTAGTTCTTTGGACTATTATTGCACTTTTTTGTATTCTTAAGTTTTAGTTTATCATTTTTCTATAGTCTATCTTTTTCTCTATATGCTTCAATGTATAGTTTCTTTAGATCTATTTCCATTTTATTGATCTTCATCCTGGCTATGTCTAGCTTGCTATTTTGTCTATTTATTGTGCCTTCAATTTTGGTACTGAAAGTTCTAGTTTTAAATTTTTGATTCCTTTTTATTGATTTTAAATTTCCACAAATTCATGCAACATTATTTTATTTCTTAGACATATGAATAACAAATATTTTAAATCTTATATTTCATAATTCTAATATGTGATATATTTCTATTACCTATTTTTGCATTCACTTTTTAATATTGTGGTCTTGTAGAAAAGGCATTTTTTGATTAAAAGGTAGACAACATGATCAATATATTTTGGAGATATTTGAGATTTCTCATGATATTACCTTTTTCTAATGTTGCTTCTAAAAAACTATGAGGAGATATTTAGATACCTTAATTAAATTTTTATGAAAGGAGTACTATATGTAATTATGTCTTAAAACCGCATTATAATTCCAAAAACAAAAGAAATCTTGGTCATTTTTTGTGGTTTCTGAACTCCAGTGTTGTGTACATACCCCTGGAATTATACCAAGTCTTAGCTTCTCAGGAACTGTTTTCTGTTTTTCTTCAGCTAGAATCTAGGTCACAGCTGAAAATCAGTAAATGTTTACCGAGGAAATGTCATGAGAAATACTAGATCTACTTCTATCCTTATTTTCTTTAGGATTTTCACCCATAATTCTTCTGGCTATGGTAGCTCTCTAGTGCTTTCAAACAAAAATTGAAAAATGTTCTATTTAGAGTCTCTGCATCTTCTCAGTGGGAAAGTTAGTATAAAATACTAGTCACCATGTCCATGTCTAGAAAAGTTAGTGCATTCTTTAAGAGAAACCATTTACATGTTGTCAATTTTCTCTATTTGCTTTCATTTTTTTTCAGCTTTAATTGAGTTTATTGGTACATTTTAGGGATACAGTACAGTTACATTCATTGTTGGGATCTTGTACCTCTACATGACAAGTCTTAATTCTCATTTTTTCCCCTTACCTCTGCCCTCCCTTCACCCCCTCCTCCCCTCTCCATCTACAAACACTTTATTTTCATCTTTTCATTTTCTCACATTTTTTTCTTTTCCATTTTTACTCTTCCCCTACCCATTCCATCTTCCCTACACCTTTAGCTCCTTTCTTCCCATTTCTAAATAAAAGCTTAATTTGTTGTACTGTTACATTTCTTTCTTTTTGCATGAAATGGACATTCACCTGCTTTCCTTTTGTGTGGTTTTAAATTCTAGCTCCTAATTTTTGTTTTCTTATTTCCAAAACTCATCTTGCTATTTAATGTGGGAGTTAAAATGTCTTAAAACTGACGTATTGAGTAAGGGTAGCCCTAGTATAAACACTCAAAAAGGAAAAAAAATCTAATTATCTAATATGAAATCCGATATCAGAATGACTGTTATTGCTATCATATACAGCCTACTTAAAATTCTGTTAATGGTCTCAGTCTGAATTTCCATAAATCACATGCTTACTTATCCTTCCTTTTATAAATTTATACAGCAGCACTTACATAAAAATGATGATATAAGAACAAATATTTATTTAGTGAAAGATTATTTAAAGCATTGAATACAAATGTCATCACACTGACCTCACTGCTCAAAATTATTTGGTCATGTAATTTTGCCTTAATAGAACCTAGTATCTCACTTTTCAAGTTTTTCTATTTCAAATTACTCTAACAAAAATGGTAAGTACCAGAAGACTCAGTGCTATTCTCAAGTCCTGTGTGATGCTTTGGTTAACTTGTTAAGGGTCATAGATAAACACAGCTTTGTTCACATTGTGTTGAAAAATGTTCTGGTTCAAATCTCATCACAGGCTTCAGCAGAGGTATGCTCTCAAAGGCTGTGACTTTTTTTGTTTCTTTTTACCAAGGCAATGTTCTTAAAAACTGACCGCTTTATTTGGAGATTGAATCAGCCTTGCTCTGTCAACCTCTTAGTTTTGGTGCTGAGATTGAATCACTGGTCCCAAGACCCCCTTTGTGTTTCATTTTCGAGCCCTTATTTCTTTTTCCATTAACAGTTCTTCTAGAGACTATTTCAGTCCATCAGAGCATCTATTACATCGGAATTTAGGGTTAAAGATGTGTTTCCTCTTCTCAAAAAACCAAAAACCAAAAACCAAAAAACTCCTTGCATGCTATATAAAGTTACCTATCTTTTCCTCAGGAACCAAATCTCAGTTATGATGTTTGCAAGAGGCAGACAGTCAGGCCACATAAGGTCATTTTTTGTTATCCTCTTGAAAATACTACCTGATTTACTTGACTGTTTATTATTAAGGATAATTAATATGTAAGTTAAAAAGATATTTCTAAAGGTGATCTTCTATTCATCTTTTATATGCATAATTTGGCAACATATCTGCTTCAATAAATATTTTTCAATTTTACCTGATCTATATTATTTTGAGATTTTTCATTATCACAGGGATAACATTTACACACATAACTATATCCAGTATGGGAAAAATACTGTAAAAGCCATAAAATAAATAATGTTCTGCAAAGTTGGAGCATGAAATAATTGCTAATTATAATTCTTAAAAAAAGAGAAAAGAAACCATTGCAGTACCTCAATTTGGAGCTGGACTCTTTTTGAGAGTACACATTATGTGTGTAGCATAAACATATTAAATTAATTCCAGATCATTGATGTATGAGTAGGGTTGATTTGTTTCTTTCCCAATGATGGGAAAGAAATACCTGACACAAAAAACAAATTAAAGAAGATGTTTATTTGGCTCATGGTTTTATAAAATTTAGTACATGGTTGGCTGGCTCAAGGCAGAAATGGCCTGGTGGAGAACAGCTGCTTTACACATGGCAGTCAGGAAGGAGATAAATAGATAGATAGATAGATGATAGATACATAGATACATAGATACATAGATAGATAGATTGATGGCAAGCAGAAATGATCCAGGGACAAGAATACACCCTTCTAAGGAGGCTACTCCCCCAGTGATTCACCTCTTCCACCAGCTCCATCTCTGAACAAATAGGGCTTTTGAGGAACATTTTAGATCTAAATCATGACACAGGGTGAATCCCAATCCCTCATATATTGAAGGTTGCATGTAGTACTGGTACTTTACTGTCATTTTTCTACAGTGAATTCAATAATTGTGGGAAACTATGACACTAAGGAAATCAAAATTACTTCCAATATATTGTCACTTGTTTTCATGTGACTAACATTTAGAGATAAATGTTTTACTTAATTTATACACAAGCATTCAATAATTCATCTATCAAAAAAAATGGTGGTGATCTGCTTCCTGCTAAGGATCAAAGCCAGGTATATTATATCACTGTATTTCTGCTAAGTGTTTCTCCCTCTTTCTTTTGTGTATTAATGAAAGAATCCAGGATGGCTATTTATTATGGCTTGCATTTATTTCTCAGTGTCTTAGTTCTTATTATGGAGAGCATCATTGGAAAGACATCATACTTTCATAGATGACTAATCTGTGATTAAGGTCTATCACCCATTGCTTCATCAGTAACATCTGGCATCAAAGATAATTCCATTAATTTCAAATCTCATAAAATGTAACATCATTACATTGAAGAAAAGACTGTCATTCTCTCTGGTTATAATAAAACATTCCTACTAGAAAGTCACATAAAGGCACTTTATAATATTTCCCAAAGATCTGTAAAATGGCAAATAAAGTTTTTGAAGCTATCCTGGAAATTTATTTCTTCATGACAGAAGAGGCTTAAATAATCAGGAAAAAGGTATAATTCTGAGGGATAGAAAATGCTTTCCAGTGTGGCTTCTAATTTGCTGACACTTATTTTGCTGATCTGTAACCACAGATACTAAAAGAACGGACAATTGATTTCTAATGAAAAATATATTTCCGCAGCTATATGGTTCATAAACATTATAATTTCCCCTCCAAATAATAAATTTAGATGAAAAAAATTTACAAAGAATTACATCACTTATAGTTTGAATTGATGAGAAAGCTTTACCGTTTTCTGAGAATAAATCAAGAAGTCATTTTCCCCCCAATCTGTAATGCTGGGAATTCTGATTTTATATTAGGTAACTGTTGCTCTAACAATAAAATATTTCATAGTAGTTTAAATAATAACATTAGGTTACTAAACTATTATGAATAGTGGTAAATACAATTAAAATTTTTTTAAAATTCTGGGTTTTAACTAAAAAATAAATTTTCTTAAGAATTTTATTTGTTCTAGTATTGAATGTTTTACTAGTTTTGAGTTTTGCTTACACTATCTTTTCTATAATACAATAGAAAAATTCTTATACTGTTTTTCTATGGAAATAATATTATTTTTAAAGAAATTAAAACAATCCTTAGCATGAGTGAATAATTAATATACTCTTCTCATTTTTAATATGTATTGTTCATAAAAGTCTATAAACTGAAAAATCTGTAAATATTAAATAATACCAGTATATATAGGCCTACACAGTTATTGAAAGCATTCTCCATGTTTAAGTAACATGCTTTTAAATGATGTATCCTCCTCTAGGAAACAGGTGAGACCATATTGTAAAGTGTGAGGTAGTTGAACTCATGATATAAAGTTGTTTCTGGAAACACTACACTATATTGAACTCTTACTGGCTTATCACCATTTTTTCTATATTTTTAAATACATAATGAATTGCAGAAAAGCTATCTATGTTAGTATCCTTTTTAAAAAAAAATCGTAATGTACTTATTTCCTTTAGATCTTGGATATCCTGTCTGGAGATAGCCATGGTAGCATATGCCTGTGATTCCAGCACTCAAGAGACAGAGGCAGGAGGATTGACATGAGTTCCAGACCAGCCTGGGCTACATCGTGAGTTCAAAATCATCCTGAACTACATAATAAGGTGAGAGACAGTGTCTCAAAAGCCTAAGAAAAATAAAAAAAAAATATTTTTCATTAATATCTCAGATGTATTTCAGAATATATTCAGAAAAATATATTTCAGATGTATTTTTCAGAAGCAAATCAAACTACAGCATTAAGTGATCATGAATGATAGTCCTAAGAAATTTTCTCTGGCCAGCAGTAAATAAATTACTTTGAAGCTTCCTGTGTGCAAATTGGAAACATAAAATCATTTATGGAATATTCAGTTTAGTGTTAAAAACCTGGTGGTAATTCTGGAAAAAAATTCACATTAAAAAAAAAATACTAACTACCTGGTTCTCTGACAGTTGATTTGCATCTGTTGTTTTAAAATCTTTCCCACACCTTCATAAGTCATTTTTACCTTTGAGGGCATTTGGGCTCAGAGAAGTTAAATTAACTGTCCATGGTCACATAGCTAACTGCATGCTGGAAAAGTGTTTCAAATATATAAATATTTAAGCTAAAAGATACAGTTCTTTCCATTATATCACTCCAGTGATAATTTTCAAGTATTAGGCTTACAAGAGCCTGTATCTTCTGAAAATATAGATCATCTATCGGCAACTATTAGACTGAAGCTAGTTTCCAATTAAGTAGGTTTTCTGTATGAGGAAGAGCTTCTGGACATAAAATATTTCTGTTAAACAGGAGAAGTAAGATCTTTTTAAGAGTATGGAGACGGATGCCAGTAACTTATTAGATTATCAACTCTGACAGATCTGATATTTTACAGTGCTTGTGAAGTAACCAGTTAGACTGCACAGTTCTATATGCACACATACACTTACACAACCCACACATCAGAACAAAAGATGTCTATGTCAAGAAATTGTTATTTATGGTATCTGATCCATTCTGGGGGCGTCTACATACAGGACAGGATCTTTAGCACTGAGCTAAGCCTCAATCTTCTGTGTTTTGTTTAAGGCCAAAAAATTGCTGCAGGAGCAACTTTCTTATATCTTGCATTCCTGGTTGGTCCTATAGGATAAGACAAAAGATACTTACCTGCAGTGGCTTGTACCATAGGAGAAAACCCCCAAACTTAGGAGATTCAGCTTTTATTGTGAGTGGGTGATGTTTTTATCCTCCATTAAGGAGAGCAATTATTCAATTTCCTGAAATATAAGCCAATCTCTTTTATGGCAGAGGATGGCATTTGTAAGGAAAATTCTCAGGGAAGGGAAGGAAAGACCTTTATCTTTACTATCATGGAAGGCCTGTAAACCCTTCTGAAGAAATATATTACCACCAGCTGTGCGTTCTCTGTTCAGCAGATCTGGAATATTCAAGACCTCAAGAAATTAATGAAAGCTTGTCACTCAATGTCTTACATCAGCTAATCCCTTTGTCTTGCTGGACCACTTCTATAACATCTGGTTTGAACTGCAGCCTATACATTCAATGAACTGCTCTTTATCATAGTTATTTTCTGTTATTTTCAGCTAACAATGCCTAGAGAGCTGTGTTTATGTATGAGTAGTCAATTTGTAATGATGTTACTCAACAGGAATGTCAGATATAGTGAGTGAAACAGTTGAGAAGAAAGAATAAATACAAGGTTATCTTTTGAAGTGCTTCCTTGTAGCCAGCCCTTCAGGAGACGTTTCATGCTGTGAATGTGGGTGACCTTCTGCTTCCTTGTGTATAGTGATGAAATGGTAGCTGGTATAGTATTGTAATATATCATATTGAGTCAGATATGTCAAGACTTCAATTCCCTCTTTTTTCTCACTGTCTCCATTTGTTGTTGCTTACATACCACCAAATCAAGCTATTCCCCCTTCACCTTAAAGATATACATTCTAGAAAATTTGGGCTGAATCAAAAGCATTTTGCATATGAAGAATCATTTGTTATAAAATCATCTTATTTGTACTGATTTGAATGTAAGATTTTAAAAAATCAAAATAAAGGTTATTTAGATCTAGAAGTCCTCTTTAGGCCTCATGCATTCAGAAGTTGGTTTTGGAAGGTGGCTGGATCTTAGGAGTGATGTACTCATCAGAGAATTCAGTAGCTGAGCATGCTGTTACAGGCAGGGTCTGGCTACAGGGTGAGTTACCGGGCCTGTGGCCTGGAAGGTGGAAGCTCCTTCCTTGTTTCCTCCCTTCTCTCTCTGCTTCCGGGCCCCCTTGAGGTGAGCAGCCCATTTCAGCAATGCCATTTCTGTGTTTAAGGCCGCCAACCGTGGACTGAACTTCTGAAGCTGAGAGCTAAAATAAACTTCTCCTCCTTTATGTTGTGGGTGGTATTTTGTCTGAACAAGGAAAAAGTGACTAAGACAATTACATTGGGCACACAATTAAATTTCTAAATTTTTAAAAAAGTGTTTATGTGTAAGAAATTGTAAAAAGGGAGTGGATATGATCAAAACCTGAAATATTAATTAATAAATGAAGATGTCATGTTCAAACCCATTAATTGTGAAATGACTATGCATTGATAGTTACAATAATTTTTAAAACTAGAATTCTTATGTGGAAAAATAGCAGTCTCTTGTTCTATTGCCTCTCCATTGCTCTTCAGCAGTAAATTTTATTATTTACTTAGTTATCTCCCTTGTATATGTATACAGTTTTAAACTGCCAATTTCAGGAGCCATCCACTTACTAAATGTTAAGGTGGTTAAGGAATTTTCATTTTTACAGTGCTCAGACTTACCTCTTTTGCTCATCCTGTTCTTTTGTTTCTTCTGTTGTTTAGTAATTGTCCTAGTTTAGGATTTACTCAATTTCATATATATAAAACATCAAAACCTCCTATACGTTTTCTAGGACAATCTAGTAAATACTAAAGCTTATATTATCATACTTCCAAATATCCCAGTAAGTTAAATGATCTAACAGTTCTGTCTCAGCTTCTTGGAAACCTGCTTTCCCTTACCTCTGCTCATTTGCTCAGATCTGGAGTCATCTCTAGGGCTGGTGCATAAATGTCATCCTGTTGTTTTCCTTAGTTTCTGTCCTTTGTAGGATATTCTATTTCCTGAATCTCATTTCTTTCTACTTCTTGATTTACTCTTTCATTTTGGTGAAGTACAGTCTCAATATTTCTGAAAAAGAGAGGTAAATATTTTCAGGCCTTTTACCTAAGGCCAGGTTATAAGGCTTGTCTGGGTTCCAGATAGGACAGAAAGATCACTTGTATTTGTATTAAATTTCCTTGATTCATACTAAATCAGTAAACAATACTAGAACAATATATGGTATTTACATATGAGTTTTGAATATGTGAGGCTTTGTTTTAATTGTGCTCAAAATTTCATGGTTAATGTAACCTACATATAATTGAGAAATCTCAGTGATCCAGATATTCCAATTCATAGCTGGGCAATTGCTGCTTTCAACATTGAAGAGTCTGCCTAATGCTTTCTATTTTTGACTGCAGCATTTCACCATTCTTATTTATGTGAAAATGTTTTCTTTCTTTTATTCTCCTGTGTGTTTGATTAATAGTTTGGCTGTATGGAACACTCCAGGTTGAGAATTATTTTTCCTTGGAAATCTGGATGTTTGGCCTGATAGCACTTCAGCATCAAATATTGCTTTTAAGTAATTCAAACTTTTCTTTATTCCATTGTGTAATATTTCTTCCTGTCTTGTAAAAGATTTGAGCTCTTTCTTTCTTAAGTGGTCCAGGTTCCCTCATTCAATAACAAAATTGAGTTATTAATTGAATTTTTGAACTGATTTACTTTGTACAAAATTGTGTGATCTTTAAAGCTGTGATTTTTAAATTTGTATATATTACATTCAAAAATCTAAATCACTCAACAGCTTCTCAGAGCTGGGGTCAAATGCAGAAATACGAATTCTTAGAGTACTCCAGTTGTCATGGTCTGTACTTGGGTATACGTCTTTGTAAGGCTGTTTCTATTATGCTGTTTAGTGGTCACTTATAGTTACAAACTATATCAAATTACTTTCAATTTACATGATTAATGATAGTGAAGTAATTTTTGTTCCTGTCCTTTCAGAAAGAAATTAGATAAAATCTGACATGACTGTGCTTTACTATAAACTTTTCAAAACTTGAAAACAAGAGGTCGTTATAAAAACAATTTCATAGAGTAGTTAGTCTACATCATGGTTACTTTGGATTAATCTGATTCCTATGTAAATCTCTAGTAGTCACCATTTAAATTTCATTCCTGTAACCAATCTCAAATTTCTTTCCAATAGGCAGTAACAACTTGTAAGCAAATGGAATTTCTATATATCCCATTGGCAGCATTATTTTATATTTTTCTTCATTTATATTTATAAAACTTTATGAGCCTGGGCTGTAATACAACAATGTAGTTCACAGTCTATTAGGATCACTGCAATCAGTCTTCTGAGACATCTGTGTGGACCTGATTCTGCAGGTAATGGGCTGTTTCAGTTCTGCTTGAGCTTGCCTTGCCATCTCCACACTGGCAACAGCTGCATTTTACTGTTATCACTTGGAATACATACAGCTGATATTCCTTTCAATATTCTTTCCCCAAAAATAAGTGGGATAAGTGACAAGAGCAATCAGTTACTTTGGAAAAAGGATACTCATAAAAACTGACGCTATTTGGTGCATTTTTATGTCATAAATATATTTATAAGGAAATGTTCTCACTGATAGACTCACACTCTAAAGGTTGTCTTTCAAAGTTTAATAGGCATTATTTTGGGTAAATTAACTTTTAAAAGTAAAACAGGCATATGTCCATCTGAAACAAAATGGAAGATAGAACAAAACAAAGTCATTTAGCTTGGGAGAAGATATAAAATTATCCAGTGCAAACTCTGTCCAACTATGAACTGTGTTTCAAATGTATTTTTCTCTGTGTGTTTTTATAAATAAAATTCCATTAGAACAACTAGTACAATTGGCTTATGTATTCTCTCTACATACCAAGGCTAT